GCAAATATATAACAAATAAAAAAACAGAAATACCTTCTTTAGATAAGTATTCATACCCTTTGCTACGAGATTCGAAATTGAGCTCAGGTGCATCCTGTTTCCATTGATAATGCTTGAGATGTTTCTACAACTTCATTGGAGTCCACCTGTGGTAAATTCAATTGATTGGACATGATTTGGAAAGGCACACACCTGTCTATATAAGGTCCCACAGTTGACAGTGCAGGTCAGAGCAAAAACCAAGCCATGAGGTCGAAGAAATTATCCTTAGAGCTCTGTGACAGGATTGTGTCGAGGCACAGATCTGGGGAAGGGTACCCAAAAACCACCAAGACTCTTCCTAGAGCTGGCCGCCTGGCCAAACTGAGCAATCGGGAGAGAATAGCCTTGGTCAGGGAGGTGACCAAGAACCTGATGGTCACTCTGACAGAGCTCCATAGTTCATCTGTGGAGATGGGAGAACCTTCCAGAAGGACAAACATCTCTGCAGCACTCCACCAATCAGGCCTTTATGGTAGAGTGGCCAGACGGAAGCCACTCCTCATTAAAAGGCACATGGAGTTTGCCAAAAGGCACTTAAAGGACTCTCAGACCATGAGAAACAAGATTCTCTGGTCTGATGAAACCAAGATTGAACTCTTTGGCCTGAATGTCAAGCTTCATGTCTGGAGGAAACCTGCCACCATCCCTACAGTGAAGCATGGTGGTGGCAGCATCATGCTGTGGGGATGTTTTTCAGCAGCAGGGACTGGGAGCCTAGTCAGGATTGAGGGAAAGATGAATGGAGCAAAGTACAGAGAGATCCTTGATGAAAACCTGCTCCAGAGAGCTCAGGACCTCAGACTGGGGCAAAGGGTCACCTTCCAACAGCACAACGACCCTAAGCTCACAGCCAAGACAACGCAGGAGTGGCTTCGGGACAAGTCTCTGAATGTCCTTGAGTGGCCCAGCCAGAGCCCGGAATTGAACCCGATCTAACATTTCTGGAGAGACCTGAAAATAGCTGTGCAGCGACGCTCCCCATCCAACCTGACAGAGCTTGACAGAATCTGCAGAGAAGAATGGGAGAAACTCCCCAAATACAGGTGTGCCAAGCTTGTAGCGTCATAGCTGTAATTTCTGCCAAAGGTGCTTCAACAAAGTCCTGAGTAAAGGGTCTGAATACTTATATAAATGTAATATTTAAGTTTTTAATCTTTAATAAATTTGCCAACATTTCTAAAAACCTGTTTTTGCTTTGTCATTATGGGGTATTGTGTGTTGATTGATGAGGGAAAAAAACAATTTAATCAATTTTATAATAAGGCTGTAATGTAACAAAATGTGGAAAAAGTCAAGGGGTCTGAATACTTTCCGACACTACCGTTCAAAAGTTTGGGGCCACAGAATTTTTTTAGAAAAGTAATTTTTCTTTCCATTAAAATAACATCAAATTGAGGCTCAGTTGGTAGAGCATTGCGCTTGCAACGCTAGGGTTGTGGGTTCAATTCCTATGGGGGGCCAGTATAAAAAAAATACAAAATAATACTTTTTTTTGAAATATCAGAAATACAGTGTAGACATTGCTAATGTTGTAAATGGCTATTGTAGCTGGAAACGGCTGATTTTTTATGGAATATCTACATAGGCGTACAGAGGCCCATTATCAGCAACCATCAGTCCTGTGTTCCAATGGCACGTTGTGTTTGCTAATCCAAGTTTATCATTTTAAAAGGCAAATTGATCATTAGAAAACCTTTTTGCAATTATGTTAGCACAGCTGAAAACTGTTGTGCTGATTAAAGAAGCAATAAAACTGGCCTTCTTGAGACTAGTTGAGTATCTGGAGCATCAGCAATTGTGGGTTCGATTACAGGCTCAAAGTGGCCAGAAACAAATAACTTTCTTCTGAAACTCATCAGTCTATTCTTGTTCTGAGAAATGAAGGCTATTCTATGCGAGAAATTGCCAAGAAACTGAAGATCTCGTACAAAGATGTGTACTACTCCCTTCACAGAACAGCGCAAACTGGCTCTAACCAGAATAGAAAGAGGAGTGGGAGGCCCTGATGCACAACTGAGCAAGAGGACAAATACATTAGAGTGTCTAGTTTGAGAAACAGGCGCCTCACAGGTCCTCAACTGGCAGCTTCATTAAATAGTACCCGCAAAACACCAGTCTCAACGTAAACAGTGAAGAGGTGACTCCGGGATGCTGACCTTCTAGGCAGAGTTGCAAAGAAAAAGCCATATCTCAGACTGCCCATCTTGGTCTTATATTTTTATTGGCCAGTCTGAGATATGGCTTTTTCTTTGCAACTCTGCCTAGATCTGTAACCTTCTATAAGATGCAATTTACATCCAAAATAAAGATTAGGGTCCTAAATAGTGAAATTCTCCTTTAAGGCAAAAATGAAAGTAGGGTGGTTGGTCAGGGTGGATGGGTGGGCTTATAACACAAACGTCTAGCACCCCAAAGGTTGCGAGTTCAACACTCATCACGGATAACATTTGCATTTTAGCAACTTTTCAACTACTTACTACTTTTTAGCTACTTTTCAACCCTTCCCCTAGCCGACCCTTCCCCTAATCTTAAACCTTTAACCTAACTCCTGAACTTAACTCTAACTCCTAACCTCGCTAACGTTAGCCAGCTAGCTAAAATTCATAACATATCATACATTTTGCAAATTCGTAACATATTATACGTTTTGCAAATTCGTAACATATAATATTAATTGTAATTCGTAACATATCATGATGGACAAATTAATACATACCATACAAAACATAACATATACTAGTTGGAGTGTCACCAATTTACGTACAGAATCATATGAAATGCTCTGAGACCAGGTTGGATTATGTTGACTTCAAATAAATAAAGAATTGGGTAGTGTGGGTAATTGGGCAGGTTAGCCACCAGGGGGAGACTCATCGAGGCATGGTGACAGAGGGAGTCTACATCATGCGGCGATGGCTCCCTCTGCTGGACGTGCCAGGTCTTGACGGGCTCTCCGGCCAGGACTAATTGGGGCTGATTATGGTTGGTGAGTAATCAAGGGGATGATTGCTCACCAGCTGGACGAGTCCCATAAAGCTGCCAGAAGGGCAGCACACAGTTGTGAGTACTGGGGAAGAGAGGTTACTCCCATATATAGTCTTGCTCAGTACCAGAGATAACGGAGGGAGCTCGGTTTTGTTCCCCACAGGATACAGCAAGACCCCGGAGCCCAGAAGACGGTATCCCGGAGGACGTCTCCTGGAGGAGACCTATTCTTTTCTCTTAGTTTATTATTTAAATAAACACCCTTGAAACCGAGCAAATACAATTCAGTCCGTGTCTGATCTGTGTAAATGTCTTGACCAAACCCCCTGGTCTGCCACAGTAGGTAAAGGGTCTTATTGAACATGTTGAGAAGTTCGATATTGCTTATGTGGAAGAATTACCGACAGTGTCGAAATCTATTCTTAATTCTGACTGCATATTTATTTGATAAAAATACATGCACTTAAAATAAACGGCCACTGACCAATGGCGAGCATCAATATGTTTAACTTGATATCAGAAAACGCCCTGAATTGCGGTCTGCAATTACACCTTTCTCCCTTGCCCTGTTCTAGAGAATGTTGTGTAAAAGCAGAGGAAGAGGCGAAGCGAAAGGTTTTACTTCGCCCAAAATCTGTCCACGAAAATAAGCCCAGGAAGTATGGAGGTCAATGAGTGTCGAATTTCAAAAAACAAAACATTTCATTGCTAATTTGCTACGTGAGGCTTATTTGATTTACATTTACATTTTTTTATTTTTTTTTTTTTTACATTTGATCGAATATAAGTTTCATAATGGTTAGGTTGTTACAAATGCACTGATATAAGTGGATGAACCGTGGCATGTTGGCAACTTTGAAAATAAATGACTTTATATCGGAGTTGTGCCTGTAGTCATTAATATAGAGGACCCATCATGGATATAACCCATTTTAGCATGGATATTGCCATTGAGGGCTTCCACCATTTTAAAGTAGTCAACTGGGTGGGGATTCCTATGAGTTGGACTCTGACTAGAGGGAGTACAGCTACGACTGGAAGTGACTTTTTCGTAGCAGGTTAGGAGACTTAGGTTAAGGTTAGGAAAAGGGTTAGGGTTAGCTAAAATGCCCTTCTAACCTGCTACGAAAAGTCACTTCTGGTCGTAGTTGTACTCCCTCTAGTCACAACCTATCAGTTGGGAGCAATCAGCCAATGAAGAATAAAATGTACTATTTTAAAATGGAGATAGCCTCAATGGCGCTGCCCATGCTGTCACAGACGGTATAATGGCACAGATACAAAGAATCCTTTATCTCTATGGCCTGTTGTTCACACACGTATCATCTGCCCTCTCATTGGCTAGAACGGTCCCACCTGATCTCGCTTCCTCCCGCCTGCCTTCCATCTTTGAGGACATGTATTTCCATTGTATTTTGTCAATATAATAGACAATCCTTGGTAAAATGACTCTGCAACATATCTTTGAGTGTATACAGTATATAGACATACTATAGCTATATAGACAAAACGGACAAAAAAAATTACAAACCAATATGGTTATGAATTATTTAACATTTGTGAATCAGAGCTTTACATGGTACCAAATATCTCTATTGTCAGCCTTGTTGACATTTGATACTGTTAATTAAAACACTGAAAAAACAATTATTGTCTCTGTTGTTATAATGTATCAACCCATGGTGAACAGGCAGACTATTTTTTTTGCTTGTAAATAAGTGTTTTTCACCACATATAACATTTATTGTTTATTTTTAGCAGACGCTCTTATCCAGAGCGACTTACATGAGCAATTAGGGTTAAGTGCCTTGCTCAAGGTCACATCGACAGATTTTTCACCTAGTCAGCTCGGGGATTAGAACCAGCGACCTTTCGGTTACTGGTACAACGCTCTTAACCTCTAAGCTACCTGCCGCCCCACAACTTCTTTTCAGTTAGTCTACACACAGAGCTGCATGATGCTTTCCACCTCAATCCATGGAAACTGGGTCCTGTACTTGACTTGTCTTCAGTACTGACACAGCAGTCTTGGGCTACAGTTCAACGTTTTTACCCAGTCACAGCCAGTCTGAAGAATTCACACAAGTGGGGTTTTAAATCCTTGACTGCAATGCCAAGATCTTTATGTAGCCTAGGCCACTAGTATTGTTTTGAACCACTGATATTCACAGGTCTATTTGGCAGTTGGATGTGAAGAAGCCTTGAGGAAAGCCCACTCCAATCAAAGCTCAGACAGTCCCAGCTGTGTCTCTTTGGCCAACCACTCGCCATAGTAGGCGGCCTTGCTCCTTGTTCCATCCTTATTCACTTTGTGCTCGTCCTTTTAGGAGTAGTAGGAGACTAATGTGTACTTCCTCGAGACAGAATGTCCTCCATTCTCTGATTTCCTCAGTAGCTACTCTCATGCCCTGTCAGGATGTACAAGTTGCTTAAGGCAGATGGATTGTCCGTGAGAGTACTCTGCAAGATAATGTCCCTGAGGAATAAAAGCATATGTTAATGTACATTTTTTATTTTGCTTCAGTAATTTGACAAATGTTTTGCTATCGAATTGCTATCAAACTCCCATAATTAAGAGACATGCCTTGAGGTTCCCAAGACTCTGAATATTCGACTTTCATCCGTGATCTCTTGTGTAACCTATGAAAAATGTCACAAACGTCACAATGTTATTTTATTGTCAATATGAGAGTTGACAATACAGTCTGACAATACAGAAAAGCTGGACTGGTGTTTTTTCTGCATTACCTCATCACTATGCAAGCTTCTACCTTTAAGCCCATGCTTCCAGAAGGCCAGAACACTGTCCTGCAAACATACTGCAAAGAACAATTTAGTCGCCTCCAATCCAAAGACACAAAGCTAAATGATTAGAATGCAGCACTCATCCATTCCCTTACCAAGAGTCTCAATGGAAAAGTCAAAAGTCAACTTTGAGGTCATCCCTTTGCTTGGATTGCCATCCAGGTTCACAATTTTCACAGTGTCTGCAAAGGTACAATGGGGAAATGGTCACAATTCAATCTTGCATTTTTTCTTCATTCAAGGGTCTTTACCACTCTGAATAGAACACTAGCACATTCAATGTTCCTGATGAAATTATACTGAAAGCAAAGTATTGAAAGAAAGAAGGAACTCACTCTCCAGAGCGATCAGGACTGTGTCTCTGTCCAGCTGAGTTACGTGCATCACCTTCAGAGATTGACTACCTGTGAAAACGTTACATAAACAATAACATCACAGCTTGCACACTGCTCGTCTGTTCTAGATCAGTGGTCACCAACCGTTGATCGCGATCGACTGGTCGATCGTCAAGGCATTCCTAGTCGATCAAATCGAGTGTGCCTACTGCGCTGGCCAAATATGGATAGCTCAAATCACCATGCCTACAGCTTCTATGACCACAGCAAAACGTATCCCCTCTCTCTGGTCAGTTTCACCGGAGGAAAGGAAGGAGAGAGTCTAATGCGGTGTTCAAAACAACTGGGAACTCGGAATCTATAACTTCCGAGCGTTCAAGACAACTGGGATCCGACTGGGACATTTTTCTTTAAACAGTCATCCAACTCAGAATTTCAAGTCTGACCTGAAGATGACCGACGTCATGATTTGACCTCGTTTTTTTCCCGAGTTCCCAATTGTCTTGAAATCACCATGACCATCAGATGCAGGTACCATCAGTAAAATAAAAAAGTTAATTATTTCCAAATTATTTATAACAACTGATCTATTTTGTTATCAAAGCTAAAGTTTTTTTAAATATAATATGGTCTGAGAAGAACAATATTGGCAGGCCAGGCATATAGCCAATATGCTGTGATAATGTATTAGGCCTACTGCACAAACTTCATTCCTACCATTGGAGTTATCCTTTTTAGATAAAACTATACTAAATATATTCACCTAATAATTGATTAAAACACTGTTTTGCAATGAAGGTCTACAGTAGCCTCAGCAGCAGTCTGTAGGGTAGCACCAATCAAAATATCAGAGAATGAATCTAGTACTGAAAGCATAAGCTACGGCTAGCTAGCACTGCAGTGCATTCAATGTGGTGAGTAGTTGACTCAAAGAGAGAGAAAGACAATAGTTGAACAGTTTTGAACAAATTAATTTCTTCCAAAATTAAGGAGAAGCGAGAGAGAGAGAGAGAGAGCTAGCTATAGTTGGTTGTATTTTTTAAAAACGTTCCCTTTCACTTAGCTAGAGAATGCAGCTAGCTAGTTTAGCCTACTCAAACACCCGGCTCAAACAGAGAGGGACGGTATGTTAGCTAGCTGGCTATGGCTATCCAACACTATCCAGCACTGAAGTCCACAAGCAAAGGAACAAGGTGAGAGGAGCAGAAGGCATAGATGGTAGCGAGAAGGAATTATATATAACGAGCAAAGTGATCACGCTGTTTTCATGTGGCTGCTATGAAAGTGAACTGTGTTTGCGTGTGATCAGAGTTGTATTCTGTCCTTGAGCTGTTCTTGTCTATTAATGTTCTGTATTATGTCATGATTTGTGTGGACCCCAGGAAGAGTAGCTGCTGCTTTTGCAACAGCTAATGGGGATCCTAATAAAATACAGCCGATTCTGTTGATAAACGTTTCTTAAACGGAAGCAAACGGAACGAAACTGTCACACCCTGATCTGTTTCACCTGTCTTGTGATTGTCTTCAACACCCACCAGGTGTCTCCCATTACCTCATGTGTATTTATACCTGCGTTTTCTGTTTGTCTGTTGCCAGTTCGTCTTGTCCCGTCAAGTCCTACCAGTGTGTTCCCGTGCTCTAGTCTTTGCTTTTTCTAGTCTTCACAGTTCTGACCTTTCTGCCTGTCCTGGCCCTGATCCTGCCTGCTCTCCTGTACCTGCCTGACTCTGATTTGGATTACGACTCTTTGCCTGCCTTGACCTATCGATTGCCTGCCCCTTGTACTGTAATAAACTCTGAGACTCGTACTCGTACTGCCTCCTGTGTCTGCATCTGGGTCTTAGCCTGAGCCACGATAGTACGAACTGGCCATGACTGACCCAGCAGACTCGGACCAGCTTTGCAACGCTGTCTCCTCCCAAGGAGCCACCATTGGAAGACACGAGTGGTTACTACAAAGCCTTATGGAGGGACTCCATACCCTGGCAGAATGCCATGACCATGCGTTCAAGATTCCCAACTAGGCAGCAAGCCACAACAGTAACCCCCCAGCCTCTCCCTCATCTTTGAGCTGCAGCCTTCTTCATTCCCCTTGGACCGCGTGAAGATAGAGTACTTGATAATGCTGATGTCCGGGAGGGCCCTGCCTGGGCTATGGCAGTGTGGGAGCAACAGTCCACCGTTTGCCTCAGTCTGGAGGAGTTTGTGGCGGATGTACGAAAAGTGTTCGATTCTCCATTGTCTGGGGGAGAGGCTGCTCGTAAGCTGCTCCAACTATGTCAAGACTCCCTTAGTGTGGCAGACTATGCAGTGGATTTCCGCACGTTAGCGGCTGAGAGTGCCTGGAACCCAGAAGCCCTGTTCGACACGTTCCTTCACGGATTATCAAAGGTAATTAAAGACGAGCTCGCAGCCCGGGAGCTGCCCATGGACCTCGACTCCCTCATAGCCTTGACCATCTGGATCGATGGGCGGCTACGGGAACGTGGGAAGGAGAGGGGGTCTGATCCCTGTCGCCCTCGCTCGTCCTCAAATTCCACTTCGCCTCTGAGGAATCCCGGAAATCCCCGAAGTCTACATTTCCAAGAGAGTCCGGTGTCACCCGAGTTCCCTCTGACATCACCGAGGGCTGCCGACTCGCCTCCTCCGGAGCCCATGCAACTGGGCAGGGCTAGATTGTCTCCTGCTGAGCGCTTATGCAGACTGAACGCTAAGAGCTGTCTGTATTGTGGAGCTACGTGACATTTCTTATCTACCTGCCCATTAAAAGACCAGGCTCATCAGTAGGTATGAGTACACTGGTGAGCCGTAAGGGGAGTGTCCAATCTCCCTCTACTCGTAACCCCCTCTATGCTACCCTGTTGTGGGGAGACCAGTCCAAATCCATCCGGGTGCTCATTGACTCTGGGGCCGACGAGAGCTTTATGGACACTACCCTGGTGTTGGAGCTGGGTATCTCCACTCAACCCCTTTCCATCCTGATGGACGTCAGAGCGCTGGATGGGCGCTCTATGGCAGAGTCACTCACAATACGGTTCCTATCAACCTGCGAGTGTCAGGCAACCACATTGAGGTGATGCAGTTTCTGCTCTTGGAGTCTCCTCATGTACCCATGGTTTTGGGGTTTTCATGGCTCCAGAGGCACAACCCCCTAATCGACTGGGCTACGGGTTCCATCATGGGTTGGAGTCCACTTTGCCATGCCCATAGCCTGAAGTCGGCACAGCCTGTCCTGGGACGCCTTCCTGTGTGCTCGGAAGGAGCCTCTGACCTCTCCACCGTTCCCGCAGAGTACCAGGACCTCTGGGAGGCTTTCAGCAAGGCCCGCACCACATCTCTTCCCCCTCATCGGCCCTACGACTGTGCAATCAACCTTCTCCCGGTCACCGCACCGCCTCAGGGGTGACTTTATTCCTTTTCGGATCTGGAGACCAAAGTGCTGCAGGGATTATGCGTCCATCTGCCTCCCCCACTGGCGCAGAGTTCTTCTTTGTGGAGAAGAATGACAATACCCTGCATCCGTGTATTGACTACCAGGGTCTTAATGACATTACGGTTAAAAAACGTTACCTACTACCACTCATCACCTCGGCTTTCAAGCCTCTCCAGGGGGCGGTCATCTTCACCAAGTTGGACCTTCAGAACGCCTACCATCTGGTTTGGATACGGGAAGGAGACGAGTGGAAGACAGCCTTCAACACGGCTAGCGGGCACTACGAGTACCTGGTGATGCTGTTCGGTCTGACCAACGCTCCCACAGTGTTCCAGCCCCTGGTCCCATTTATCCTTGGACTTCGTCAAGGGTCTCCCTCTATCAGAGGGCAACACCACCATCCTTACGGTGGTGGATAGGTTTTCCAAAGCCACCCATTTTATCCCCCTTCCTAAGTTGCCCTCAGCTAAGGAGACGGCCCAGCTCAAGTTGCAGTATGTCTTCCGGATCCATGGACTTCCGGTCGACATGGTCTCCGATCACGGTCCACAGTTCTCATCCCCGTTCTGGAAGGCATTCTGCACCCTCATTGGGTCGTCGGCCAGCCTGTCCTCTGGTTTTCATCCCTAGTCTAACGGCCAGTCGGAACGAGCCAATCAGGACCAGGAGATGACTCTTCGTTGCATCGTCTCCACCAATCCCACCACCTGGAGCCAGCAACTTGTGTTTGTGGAATATGCCCGCAACACCCTTCCCTGTTCTGCTACTGGTCTCTCGGCTTTTGAGTGTTCCCTGGGATATCAGCCCCTGCTCTTCCCGGAGCAAGAGGAAGATGTCAGCATACCTTCTGCCCAGATGTTCGTACATCGCTGTCGCCGTACCTAGAAGAGAGCCCGGGCCGCTTTTCTCAAGACCACCTCCAGGTATCGACGACAGGCGGACCGCCACCGGACCCCTGCTCCCCGCTACCGTCTTGGGCAGAGGGTATGGCTTTCCATTTGGGATCTGCCCCGCCGGTGGAGTCCCGCAAACTTTCCCCACGTTTTATCGTCCCTTTCCCCATCTCTAAGGTCCTTAGCCCCTCTGCTGTTTGCCTTCTGTTGCCCCACACCCTCCGTATACATCCCACATTCCATGTGTCTAGAATTAAACCCCTGTCTCACAGCCTTTTGTCTCCTGTTTTTCTGTTGCCAGTTCGTCTTGTCCCGTTAAGTCCTACCAGCGTGTTCCGGTGTTTCCTGTGCTCTAGTCTTTGCTTTTTCTAGTCTTCCCAGTTCTGACCTTTCTGCCTATACTGACCCTGATCCTGCCTGCTGTCCTGTACCTGCCTGACTCTGATTTGGATTACAACTCTTTGCCTGCCTTGACCTACTCATTGCCTGCCCCTTGTACTGTAATAAACTCTGAAACTGGTACTATCCGCCTCATAACTGTTTCTATTAGGTTAATGTTATATTTTTTATGTCATGTTTAAAACAAATTCTGAGCGGTAGATCTCGGCTTGCTTTTTGACTGTGAAAGTGATCTTGACTCAGAAAAGGTTGGTGACTACTGGTCTAGATTAAACTAGATAAAATATCAAAATATTGATGGAGGTACCTGTCTGGCCTCTGGGTGTGTCATTCAGGTGGATGATGTCAAAGTGGACCTGCTCACAGGTCTTGACAGGGGCCTGTAGCCTACTCACACCCACACACACCTGTGGCAGCTCCTCTGTCTCCAGGACCAGCAGTTCAAAGATGGGGAGGGTTTCTGGGAGACTCACAGCGATATGCTGAGAGGGAGAGGAGAAAGCGGAACGGACAAGAATGCTTTGTGATGCTTTTCTATTTAAAAAACACAACGCTAACATTGTATAGAGATGCATTGGGAACACACACCTTGAGTTGCATGAACTTCTGAAGGGGCTCGTACCACAGCAGCAGGACAAGGCCAGTTGGTACCACAGCACACAAAAATGTGCTGTCAGTGTACGGGTTACGCACTGAGAAGAATAGATAAGGCAGAAGAGAGAGAGATATGTCATCTTAGACATAAATACTGTACAGTACATCTCCATTTTAGACTAAAATAACATGTTCCTTACCAACGCTGCAGCGTCGACAGCCTTTGGTGTCTGGTATCTTTCCAGACTCAGAAAACTTTCTACAAAGAGAACACATTAACATGACATCTTTTTTTTCCTGTACAATTTCCAGGATGATTTCTGTACAATTTCCTCTCACGCTAATATCAGTGAAAAGCAACATTGCTTGGGTATTTTCACTACGGCCTCTCTCTGCCCAGGAGTGGGGTGTCCCTACCTTGAGTTGATCCTCTGAGTGAGGCGGTGGGTGTTGATGGACAGGTGGCCCTGCCTCTTCGGGAGGTGTTGATCAAACAGGGTGGTCAGCCTCCGGGAGCACAGCTGGGATGATTTCCCTACGGAGCACAAAGACAGTCAACACACATCTAGATAGAACATACTGATAAGGTGTGTTGTAATTGTTGGTGTTGTGAGGGACACTGAGGGCCCTACCTGAGATAGACATTAGCACATTGTTCATGACATACAGCCAGCTGCACCTCTGGGGTAATAACTGAAAAACACAGAAAAGCTTTTTAAAAACAATTTTTTTGTTTTTCTACATTTATTTGATCTTATTGTATAATTGGTGGTACCTTCTCCATGGTGTCCTCATGGAGCTCGTTGAGGTTCAGGGTGTAGATGCCCTCCTCTGTCCCCAGGATGAGGTGTTGATCTGAGGGAGGATAGTCAGATATTCTCCCTGAGATCTGACTGGTTTGACAGAAGCTCTATTTACTGATTATTATCCTTTGTAACCTGTGCTTACCTTTGGTCTTTGGCAGGACCCATGTGACAGCGCAGTGGATCTTTAATGGACAGCCATTAAACACCTTGGAAAAACAGGCCCCCATCTAGAAAATATTGTGTGGTTCAATATGTATAATTTCAATGCATTATTTTCATATTGGTGGCTATATATCCAGGCATCTTCACTTACATGGACTTTGGGTGTGGGTGGAAGTCCATGGCAATCACCTCTCTGAAGAAGAAAAAAATCCACAGAATTATCTGTCGTCGTGTGTGCACAAGAGATGCATTTAATAGGTGTGTCAGTAACTTGTCTGATGGTGACCCACCACGTCCTCAGTTTTCCTCCTGAGTGTGCTCCATTCTGGAGCCAGTGGTGGCTGCTGGGCCTTGGAGGGTGTCTTTCCCACCCTCTGTCTCTCTGGCTCACTGCCCTCTGCAGGAACACACAGACCCATCACATTTACATATACATTTACGTCATTTATGGATTTGAGACTTTTCTAAATTGATCATGCAGATTTACATAATTAATAGTTGATGTCACTACTTTTCCACAATGACTTCATAGATTGTTTTAGTTAGTGTTTCTGTGTGTACAGGATGTGTTGTGTGTGAGTGGATGCTGTACCTTCAGAGGGAGAGGAGCAGTTGGAGGAAAGTGTGAAGTCAGAGAAGATGGTTTCAGCAAAGATGGTAGAGTTGAAGAGAGATGGGTCAGCCAGGGTGGAGTCTGTGAATGGAGGTGTGACATTGGGACGGGTGGAGTCACAGTTGACAGTAGATTCTATGGTGCTAGTAGAGTCAGTGGATGGGGAGATGGTATGCCTTGTGGCAGGACTGAGGACCCCACTCCTCTTCACCGTGCCAGATTTATCCATATCCTCATCTTCAGGAGAGTGCTGCAACAGATGAACACAGATGCTGGTGCGGTTCCACAGAAACAGTGTTGAGTGCCTGATAGGTTAAGATAATAACGTCTGTAGTTCTCTCTCACCTCAGCAGAGGGCGCTCTCTTTATGGTTAACCTCCTGCAATGGATATCAAACAGACAGAAATATACTATGTTATGGGAATTAACATATCTAGTGGTCTGGATGTGCAGTATTGTTTTAAATTCCAGATGTGCAGAAATATTTTAAATTCCTTTGCATTCAGCTTACTTGGTATGTTTGTTTGTAATGGGAATTAGATTTTGTTCCCTTTTGCCTTTGGTGTGTTATTGGTGAGGTAGGTAAGTGCTATAAAGAGATGTATATAGACAGTTTTATAGCCTCACCTTTCAAGCAACGCTTCCTCAACACACTCCAGTAGACTCCTGCACCTCAAATGTAGAGTAGATGAAGTTATTACTGCCTTCGTTAGTAATTTATTACGGGTGATTTGACATGGGAAGTAAAATAAACAGTAGCTTACGAGGAGTTATTTTCATCTCCTGTAATGCTCCATTCATCATATGATCCCTGTTGGGGAAAATATGTTTATGTACTGACAATTTGACAAATAAATGGATTGTTTTTCCATGTTGAACATGACGTTTGTATAACATAGAGGTTAGACACAGATGATAGGCTATTTACCAGGTCAGGAGAGGGCTCAGTCTCCTTCCTCATGGGAGGGCCAAATTTTAGCAGAGCAACTGGAAAACACAGTCACATAATCCCCACATATACATATGATCCAGAATAACACCTTTAAAATATTGAACACTGTACTAGAAAATCATCCTGATTATCATCATCATTTTCTGTTATGAAAATTATATGAGATACCAGTAAACCAACACCACACACTTGTTCTCACACTACTCTCTTTCATTTTATTTGAGTGGATGCTCAATCTTGGTGCCAGTGACTATCCCCTTGTGTCCTCCTGACTTTGGCTGCTTGCCACTGCATGCGGTAATGCTACTACGGCCATAACAATGGCTCATCAGTAACTCAAGAGACCTTGAGGAGCTGTGGATGCTAGGATCTGAGAGTTACTCACACTGCTCCTCAGACTGAGTCCTCTGGACCGACAGGTGTTTCCCTAAGGACTGGATCTTATCAGGGAATGCACTGCATGTCTGCAAACCCACACATACACAGTAGCATACAGATCATTAGTGACATATTTATCTTAGTAGTAGTAATCCACATAGTACAGTGTTGTGCCCAAGCATACATTTTAGGACAGGAGAGGAGAGCAGAGGAGAGGGGAGGAGAGCTCACCTCAAGATCACTCTCATCCATAGTGTGTGAGGTTTGTAGAACAGGGTTGCTGGCCATGTCCAGCAGTTCTATGGCCAGGGTCCTGGTCAGCAGCTGACTCACAAAGGGGTGCTGAGAAGAAAACAGGTAATGTGGGGAGTGTCGGTCACCTAAAGGACTACGTTCAGAAACTACATATAGTTTCTGCACTAGGGACATAAATTCAACAGGTTTTCATCAACTTTGATGCCATCTGCTTGTTCTCCTCAAAAGGATGGAACTTTTGTACCTGTAACAACTTCTCCGCAGTGGGCCGTTTGCGAGGGTTCTTGGTGAGGGATATTTTCACAAAGCTGTGAAAGTCAGCAGACCTAAACAGGAGAGAGACCACTGGTTATTACCACAGGGGCTCATGGGCTCCTAGACACTCACAGCAACATATACATTATTATTTTGTATTTATTTGTTTATTATTATTAATTTATTGGCCCGTCAACATTTTACTATTTTGTTACATATACATTATTCATACATTTTACATACATGGTACTTTTATACACAGTATTACATGTCAGAAATACAGTTTGATATACACATTAAATGGTACTCAGACATATCCGGTACAGTGGCTTGCGAAAATATTCACCCCCCTTGGCATTTTTCCTATTTTGTTGCCTTACAACCTGGAATTAAAATGGATTTTTGGGGTGTTTGTATCATTTGATTTACACAACATTCCATTCCAAGACATTTAAATGTTTCCCCTTAAACCACTCAAGTGTTGCTTTAGCAGTATGCTTAGGGTCATTGTCCTGCTGGAAGGTGAACCTCCATCCCAGTCTCAAATCTCTGGAAGACTGAAACAGGTTTCCCTCAAGAATTCCCCTTTATTTAGCGCCATCCATCATTCTTTAAATTCTGACCAGTTTCCCAGTCCCTGCCGATGAAAAACATCCCCACAGCATGATGCTGCCATCACCATGCTTCACTGTGGGGATGGTGTTCTCGGGGTGATGAGAGGTGTTGGGTTTGCGCCAGACATAGCATTTTCCTTGATGGCCAAAAAGCTCAATTTTAGTCTCATCTGACCAGAGTACCTTCTTCCATATGTTTGGGGAGTCTCCCACATGCCTTTTGGCGAACACCAAACGTGTTTGCTTATTTCTTTCTTCAAGCAATGGCTTTTTTCTGGCCACTCTTCCGTAAAGCCCAGCTCTGTGGAGTGTACGGCTTAAAGTGGTCCTATGGACAGATACTCCAATCTCCGCTATGGAGCTTTGCAGCACCTTCAGGGTTATCTTTGGTCTCTTTGTTGCCTCTCTGATTAATTCCCTACTTGCCTGATTCATGAGTTTTGGTGGGCGGCCCTCTCTTCGCAGGTTTGTTGTGGTGCCATATTCTTTCCATTTTTTAATAATGGATTTAATGGTGCTCTGTGGGATGTTCAAAGTTTCTGATATTTTTTTGATCTGTACTTCTCCACAACTTTGTCCCTGACCTGCTTGGAGAGCTCCTTGGTCTTCATGGTGCCGCTTGCTTGGTAGTGCCCCTTTCTTAGTGGTGTTGCAGACTCTGGGGCCTTTCAGAACAGGTGTATCTATATTGAGATCATGTGACAGATCATGTGACACTTAGATTGCAAACAGGTGGACTTTATTTAACTAATTATGTGACTTCTGAAGGTAATTGGTTGCACCAGATATTATTTAGGGGCTTCATAGCAAAGGGGGTGAATACATATGCACCCACCACTTTCCCATATTCATTTTCTAGAATTTTTTAAAAGTAGTTATTTATTTCATTCCACCTCACCAATTTGGACTATTTTGTATATGTCCATTACATGAAATCCAAATAAAAAACAATTTAAATTACAGGTTGTAATGCAACAAAATAGGAAAAACGCCAAGGGGGATGAATACTTTTGCAAGGCACTGTATTTGAGCTGTTCTTGCCATAATATTGACTTGGTCTTTTACCAAATAGGGCTATCTTCTGTATACCCCCTCTACCTTGTCACAACACAACTGATTGGCTCAAACGCATTAAGAAGGAAAGAAATTCCACAAATTAACTTTTAACAAGGCACACCTGTTCATTGAAATGGATTCCAGGTGACAACCTCATGAAGCTGGTTGAGAGAATATCATGAATGCGCAAAGCTGTCATCAAGGCAAAGGGTGGCTATTTGAAGAATCTCAAATATAAAATATATTTTGATTTGTTTAGCACTTTTTTGGTTACTACATGATTCCATATGTGTTATTTAATAGTTTTGATGTCTTCACTATTATTCTACAATGTAGAAAATAGTAAAAATAAAGAAAAACCCTTGAATGAGTAGGGGTTCTAAAACTTTTGACCGGTAGTGTACATTATTAGTTCTGTAGCTCATATTACTTTTTAATTGTAAACTAACTTCTACCATTTGGTCTTGTCCTTCAGTTTGGGAGGCTGGAAGCTTCCCTTTGACATCACCATCAAGGCCCTGGGGGGGAAAAATCGAAATCTCATGATGCAGTGATCATTATCCAAATCTGATCTGTTAATATGACTGGATACAATAACTAGATTTAACTTAAACATTGTTATTACAGAATCTGTGTAATTATAATAATGAGAGGTGAAATCCCAGCAACTGTGCCCTCACCTCATGGGGTGCATGTCAAACATGGGAGGCTGAAGCTCTGCCAGCTCGATAGCGGTGATGCCCACTGCCCAGATGTCACATAGCTGGTTGTACCCGCCTTTCTTCTCCACTGCTGCCACCTCAGGTGCCATCCTAGAAGAGCAAAGCTGCCCGTGGATAACTATGGTAAACCATGACAATGGGCCATGTTTTGGTGCCATGGATGGACTTAGATCACTCACCAGTAAGGCGTGCCTATGAAGGACTTTCTCTTGGCAACGGAGGCATTGATCTCAGCTGCAACGCCAAAATCCGCTGGAGGGAAACAATGGTGTGAGAGAGGTGGAGACAATTATTTTAGTAAATCTTTAAAATAAAAATATTTACTTAAGGACTAAGTGTGTACGCGGGAGAGGGAGAGAGGATATGTGAGAGTGAGTGACAGTGTGAGGATGGAGGACAGTCACTGACCCAGTTTAACATCTCCTCGCTCTGTCAGAAGAACGTTGGCTCCCTGTTAAGAACCCACAGTGACACAATGAGTGCACCGTCTCACGCTCTCCCTTTGGGACAGTCGCAAGCTCCAAATACACACATACATTTACACTTGCATATTTGCAAAAATACATTTCTGTAAGTATGAAGTAGTTCCAAAGCGCCAGACCAAATGATTCAATTCAAATGAGTTGTAGAGCAAATTGTTTAAATGTTTTGTATTCAACAGGATTCTATACATTACCTTTATGTCTCTGTGCATTTTTCCAGTCTCATGTAAGTGATGCAGTCCCTGCAAACACAGAAAACCCAATGACAGTGGTATCTCAGCGCAACAGTCAAGCACGAGGTTTATGAATTTACGATGTAAGTAATGTTACATCCAAATGGCAAGTTTCACAATAGAAAATTGTTAAATGCTTTATCCAATTAATAAAGCTGCATATCATTTCATTCTTACCTGTAGTGTTTCCCTACACACATATGCAATCTGCCTCTCATTCAGGGGGCCTGTAACTATGGAAACATAACATTTAAGTCTGTCAGGGCCAACATTGAAAAAGAGAATATGAGGTACACAGTAACTGGTTGAATCTTTACTTGAAACACTGGACGATGCCATTCATATACACTATCAATCAGGGTGGGGGTTAGGGGGGATGACATGTTCTCCAACTGTACCATGATAAATGTCCTGCAGGGAACCTCCTCCACAGTACTCCATGCAGATCCACAGCTTGTTATTTCTACCAAAGGAAGAGGCACACCGTTAAAGGAATACCTCATTGAGTTTCATATCAAGTTTTAACGTTTGATTGCAGACCAAACCTGAGGTAGCTGCCGAAATAGGCCACAATGTTCTTGTGAGTGCATTCTTTAATCATGGTGATCTCCTGTTGGATAGATGATATATCATCACCTGAAGAGAGAGACGAGCAAACTCTAATTTATATTCAGGAATACCGCGACTCAATGTGATTAAGACAAAAACACAATCATACTTTGGGATATCATAAATATCCTACCAGGATCTAGTTTTACAACTTTGATTGCTGATACCACAGATGTCTTGATGTCTCGTGCCTATAGAGAAGAGAGTACACATTTTTTTGAGGTTTTCCTGATCATTTGACATTGTGATTTCATTTTTTGCTGTGAATGTTATGGGTACTGTCATGACCTTTCAAGTCATGAGTGCCACAGACTCTCAGTTATACAATGGGAAAACGAATAATTGCCGACCACGCATGAAAGTAGTTCTAGGTATATTACATTTAAACCAGGGTATTCACAAGGAACCAAACGGAAGCAAACTGAACGAAACTGTGAGAGAACTACCTGAATTTGTCAGATAAAAACTATATATTTTGTTGCAAAACACAACTGTTTGGGCTAATGATTACACCTCAGCCGATTAGGTATGCTATTTGAGGGCCTTGTGCTCACACTTTTTTTCCACTGAGAAAACATAGGTGATAAGGGGAAGTACACCCTTACTGTATGTCTACAGATCATACAGACACAATGCTTATGTTACCAAGCAAAGCAGTGAAAGGCCACGTGGGAACTATGAGGCCCTTGAAAAAAGACATCTGATATGGAGCGGTACTCACTTCCTGTTTTGTTTCTGTCGTAAAAGACTTGCTGTGATTAAAGTCATGTAAAAGTAATGTATCATATTGCAGCAGAACTTTTACATCCTCGACCAAATGAGGCTATTATCGCTCATCTCAGCTCAAGATCACTTTCAAGACATGCCCTAGGCAACTAATCCTTCTCTTATTTCATGATGATTTATTGTTTATCTTTTCAATAGAACAATTAATTACAGAAATCTTTCCGATACTTTACAGGGGTTTCTTGGGTATGCTGCAGTGAATAATGATAAAGTCGATTTTTGCCATATCCGAATTTAGGTCAGGGTTCTGGCCTGTGTGTAAACAGTGAGTTTCTCACGGTTTTGACACGTCTTCCTTTCTCAACAAATGTTTGGTTTCCTGTTACCAACTGCTACATTCACGAAACAATCTCATATAACCACAAACTCATGGAGTATTTATTTCTGTACCATACTTTATTAACTTTATTTGGTGTGCTGGACTTTTTTAACACCTGACCATATACAGTGCATTCGGAGAGTATTCAGACCCCTTGGCTTTTTCCACATTTTGTTATGTTACAGCCTTATTCTAAAATTGATAAAATAGTTTTTTTCCTCATCAATCTACACACAATACCCCATAATGACAAAGCAAAAACAGTTTTTTTTTACATTTTTGCAAATGTAAAAAAATTAATACATGAAATATCACATTTACATAAGTATTTAGACCCTTTACTCAGTACTTTGTTGAAGCACCTTTTGCAGTGATTACAGCCTTCAGTCTTCTTGGGTATGACGCTACAAGCTTGGCACACCTGTATTTGGGGAGTTTCTCCCATTCTTCTCTGAAGATCCTCTCAAGCTCTGTCAGGTTGGATGGGGAATGTCGCTGCACAGCTATTTTCAGGTCTCTTCAGAGATGTTCAATCGTGTTCAAGTCCAGGCTCTGGCTGGGCCACTCAAGGACATTCAGAGACTTGTCCCGAAGCCACTCCTGCATTGTCTTGGCTGTGTGCTTAGGGTCGTTGTCCTGTTGGAAGGTGAACCTTCGCCCAAGTCAGAGGTCCTGAGCGCTCTGGAGCAGGTTTTCATCAAGGATCTCTCTGTACTTTGCTCTGTTAATCTTTCCCTCAATCCTGACTAGTCTCCCAGTCCCTGCCGCTGAAAAACATCCCCACAGCATGATGCTACCACCACAATGCTTCACCATATGGATGGTGCCAGGTTTCCTCCAGACGTGACGCTGGCATTCAGGCCAAAGAGTTCAATCTTGGTTTCATCAGACCAGAGAATCTTGTTTCTCATGGTCTGAGAGTCCTTGAGGTGCCTTTTGACAAACTCCAAGAGGGCTGTCATGTGCCTTTTACTGAGGTGTGGCTTCCGTCTGGCCATTCTACCATAAAGGCCTGATTGGTGGAGTGCTGCAGAGATGGTTGTCCTTCTGGAAGGTTCTCCCATCTCCACAAAGGAACTCTGGAGCTCTGTCAGACTGACCATTGGGTTCTTGGTCACCTCCCTGACCAAGGCCCTTCTCCCCCATTGCTCAGTTTGGCCGGGCGGCCAGCTCTAGGAAGAGTCTTGGTGGTTCCAAACTTCTTCCATTTAAGAATGATGGAAGCCACTGTGTTCTTGGGGACCTTCAACGCTGCAGACATTTTTTGGTACCCTTCCCCAGATCTATGCCTCGACACAATCCTGTCTCGGAGCTCTACGGACAATTCCTTCGACATCATGGCTTGGTTTTTGCACTGTCAACTGTGGGACCTTATATAGACAGGTGTGTGCCTTTCCAAATCATGTCCAATCAATTGAATTTACAACAAGTGGACTCCAATCAAGTTGTAGAAACATCTCAAGGATTATCAATGGAAACAGGATGCACCTGAGCTCAAAGGGTCTGAATACTTATGTAAATAAGGTATTTCTGTTTTTATTTTTAATAAAGCTGCAAAAATGTCTAAAAACCTGTTTTTGCTTTGTCATTATGGGATATTGTGTGTAGATTGATGAGGATTTTGTTTTTTAAATACATTTTAGAATAAGGCTGTAACGTACCAAAATGTGGAAAAAGTCAAGGGGTCTGAATAAAGACTTTCCCAATGCACTGTATACTTAGAGTAAAAACTTTATCAGCATTTCCCTGCACCTTGTTAGTCTCGTAACCCGACCCTAGGCAAAATACACTGTGCGAGGCAACAAGTCTGCCTAGGGAGACTACAGCCATTCTGATGTTTAGCTCTGTATTCATGACAACCAAACAGTCAATACAGTTATGGAGAGAGACCATGCAGCCTGCCTCCATGCACACATTGATGATACTACGGGATGGTGAAATATCACTTTCTGGCAACATTATATCAGGATTTATTTATTTTTTTATCTCAAAACTATTTCTAGCATTTTTGATTAATAAAACCATCACATTCTGTTTTTGAACGTTGACTGCAGTCAACATAGGACTAAGGCTAGAAATAACCATCTATTCGAACAGGTATGTGTCTGCTCAGGTCGTACAGTCATCATATGTAAAACAATCACAATTCGGGGGATGGATGCACATCCAGTAGCCTACAAAGGAGACCTACATTTCACTAAAGTTCAGAATCATATGCAAAATAGTGGAGCATGGCGAATTTAAAATACCTTAAATACATCTCCGTATGTACCACTCCCGATTCGCTGAATCAACTCGTAGTCGTCCAACGGGTTCGAGTAGGAGACACCAATTGCCTCCATCGCAGCAATGTCTGCCTTGACTCGCGCTGTCTAGCGACTAATGATGATTATTATCCAAATGTCTGCACTTCCTCTGCAACAAACCATCAGAAGCAAAAGCCGAAATAAAAATGTCAGCTATAGACTACAGCCTTGGGATGCTCAGTGAACGGCAGCCTACCAGTGCCATGGCATTTTTGTAAATAATATGGTATTGTTGTTGTTCCTGAATCAAGAAAATAATCAGCATTTTGATTTTTTTCAGGTGAAACAAAGCCATGTAAAAAATACTAATTGTCCACCAGTTCGGTTATAGTTGTGTTGAAATTATAGTATTTTTTCTTTCAATTTCATAAAAACATATATATTTTTTTCCTCTCTCTCTCTCTCTCTCTCTCTCTCTCTCTCTCTCTCTCTCTCTCTCTCTCTCTCTCAATTTCATAAAAACATATATATATTTCTCTCTCTCTCTCTCTCTCTCTCTCTCTCTCTCTCACACACACACACACACACACACACAAACACAGCACACACATAGTAAATCCTGGGGAGAGCCAACAATTGGGAGAGCCCTTGAGGTTCTTGTGGTGATTGATTGATTTGTTGATTGACTGGGTGATTATTAAGGTTATTAAATAGATGTAGCGAAACCACATCCATGGAAAATATATATTATGATTTATAAAAGTGAAGTATAACCCACTGTGTATAAATATGTGGTATAAGGCAATGATAATGGCTACATTTGGGGACTACGAATTTATGGCTGGCAGGTAGCCTAGCGGTTAAAGCGTTGAACCAGTAACTGAACGGTTCCTGGTTCAAATCCCCGAGCCGACAGTGTAAAAATCTGTCAATATTAACCTTAATTGCTCCAGGTAAGAGAGTCTGCTTGCTTGCCTAAAATGTAAATTGAGAGACGCCTGGTGAAGACACGCCCCTCGTTGTGCTCCAAAATCCGTTATCGTTCACCTAGCAGCAGGATGTTATGGCAGCATGTTCGCTGATTTTCTTTTTGAAATTAAGAGTAACGGGGAATATGCATTTTATGCATTTTGTACTCTAGTGCAGTACAACTGTTTTTCACAGCATTGCAAACACCTTTGAAAAAATGTATGGATAATTTGATGTATTTTATTTGTATTATTGTATTTACACTACCGTTCAAAAGTTAGGGGTCACTTAGAAATGTCCTTGTTTTTCGAAAGAAAAGCAATTTTTTTGTCCATTAAAATAACATCAAATTGATCAGAAATACAGTGTAGACATTGTTAATGTTGTAAATGGCTATTGTAGCTGGAAACGGCTGATTTTTTTATGGAATATCTACATAGGCTTACTGATAATGGTAGCCCATTATCAGCAACCATCAGTCCTGTGTTCCAATGGCACATTGTGTTTGCTAATCCAAGTTTATCATTTTAAAAGACTAATTGATCATTAGAAAACCCTTTTGCAATTATGTTAGCACAGCTGAAAACTGTTGTGCTGATTAAAGAAGCAATAAAACTGTCCTTCTTGAGACTAGTTGAGTATCTGTTGCATCAGCAATTTTTCAGCTGTGCTAACATAATTGCAAAAGGGTTTTCTAATGATCAATTAGCCTTTTAAAATGATAAACTTGGATTAGCAAACATAACATGCCATTGGAACACAGGACTGATGGTTGCTGATAATGGGCCTCTGTACGCCTATGTAGATATTCCATAAAAAATGAGCCGTTTCCAGCTACAATAGCCATTTACAACATTAACAATGTCTACACTGTATTTCTGATCAATTTGATGTTATTTTAATGGACAAAAAATTTGCTTTTCTTTCGAGAACAAGGACATTTCTAAGTGACCCCAAACTTTTGAACGGTAGTGTATACCAGCACTTCTTTTGAAAGTTAACATAAATACTGGTATGTTGAAAGCCATTGTGTAGGCTATATTTAAAGAAATACAATTGTAATAAAATGCAAATAAATGTTAATGGTTTACTCAATATGTACAATTTTAATTGGTCTCTTGTGCTGGGCAACGGGTTTGATACAGAGTGCTGGTGACTCCTTACTCCGCCCACTCCATTCACTGCAATGCAATACACTGTATATGGGATACTTATTGGGATGTGGAGAAAAAAACATTACTACCTGTCTCATATAAACTGGGGTGAGAAATACTCTGTAGGGTCTCTACTAACCAAATATGTGTCGTTTTAGAGGGGGACTGTGTCATACATATCCAGCAGCACTTCCTTTTCCACCCCCTCCATAGCCCCCAATGCAATACACTGTAATAGAATGTACATGGTATACATATTGGCTTGTGGAGATAACTTTTCTACATGTCTCAGCTAAAATGAAGTGGCAATGGGAATTACTCAGTAGAGTCTCTACTAACCAAATATGTGTAATTTTGGAGGGGGACTATGCCGTACATATACAGCATCACTCCATAGCCCCCAATGCAATATACTGCAACTTTTTTTTGCCAAAATGTATTCCATGTACAGTCTATTACAGTGTATTGCATTGGGAGCTATGGAGGGGGCGGAGAACGAAGTGCTGCTGGATATATACGACATAGTGCTCCTCCAAAACTACACATATTTGGTTAGTAGAGACCCTGCTGAGTAATACCAATCCCACTTTAGCTGAGACAGGTAGAAACGTTTTCTCTTTACAAGCCAATATGTATACCATGTACAGTCTATGACAGTGCATTATATTGGGGGTATGAGGGAGGCGGAGTGAAAAGCCAGCAACACAGTCCTCCTCCAAACTCCAAAACTCATAATATTTGGTTAGTAAAGACACTACTGAGTATTTCCCACTCCACTTTAGTTGAGACAGGTAGAAAAGCAGGGGCGCAACTTTCACTGGGGACGGGGGGGATATGACCCCCACGCCCCCACATTCTGAAATTACAATTTTGTCCCCCCCCCCCCCCAGTTTTATAATTGCACTGTGATACACAATGTCTGTCCTCGGTTGCAACACTCACTACCGAGTTCCAAACTGCCTCTGGAAGCAACGTCAACACAATAACTATTCGTCGGGAGCTTCATGAAATGGGTTTCCATGGCTGAGCAGCCGTACACAAGGCTAAGATCACCATGTGCAATTCCAAGCATCGGCTGGAGTGGTGTAAAGCTCGCTGCCATTGGACTCTGGAGCAGTGGAAATGCGTTCTCTGGAGTGATGAATCACGCTTCACCATCTGGCAGTCCGACAGACGAATCTGGGTTTGGCGGATGCTAGGAGAACGCTACCTGCCCGAATGCATAGTGCCAACTGTAAAGTTTGGTGGAGGAGGAATAATGGTCTGGGGCTGTTTTTCATGGTTCGCGCTAGGCCACTTAGTTCCAGTGAAGGGAAATCTTAACGCTACAGCATACAATTACATTGTAGATGATTTTGTGCTTCCAACTCCCCGCAGCAATGTTCCAACATCCAGTGGAAAGCCTTCCCAGAAGAGTGGAGGCTGTTATAGCAGCAAAGTGGGACCAACTCCATATTAATGGCCATGATTTTGGAATGAGATGTTCGACGAGCAGGTGTCCACATACTTTTGGTCAAGTATTATATGTTAGAATGCCTAGTCATGTTCATATAATCTCAGACATAAAATACTGCAGTTTAAGACCATCCATAGAACACACTATATGCCAGTTAAACTGAATATCATGCACTCAGAAATGTCATTATTCTGCTGGAGGTGTAAAACACAATACGGGACATATTTGCATATGTTATGGTCTTGTGAAAGCTGGCTGAATTCTGGCAAAGAGTATGTTCTTTTATCTCAGCATGTGCTACAGATTCTCCCTGTTTTATTTGGTTGGAAATGTTGATAATGGAAACTGTTATCAGAAGAAACTGTGTAACCTAGCATTTATAGCGGCTAAGAAATGCATTGCCATTAATTGGAAGGTTGGTTATCCTCCCACAATGTCACAATGGATGGCAGAAATGTCAAGTTATGTATCACTAGATTTGATTTATTACAAGATTAAGGGTATACTGTGCAACTTTCATATGGTCTGAATGCCTTTTATGGAATACAGTACGACAAAAGGAGTCTGTATTGAAAACATGCCCACGTCAGGGGAGATACCTATTTAAGCATTCCCTAGCTGCTGGGCTGCTCAGTCCTGGCTCTGGGGGTCTGCCGTACTGATGGTTGTCACTCTGGCCTTGGCCTAACACACCTGAAACCAATAATGAATGTTTCACTAAGATCCTAAAGCTGAGTGGGATGTGTTGGGTTGGGGTGTTGCATGGCCCTGGACCGCTAGGGGCAGGACGTGGTGACCCAGCTATATTGTGTGCAAGTAAAAATACCTCTACAGTACTATTAGGTCTATGATATTAATTATATGGAGGATGTACTGTTTCTGTGTGTTAATGTGTAGGAGGTGTATGTGTTTTTATTAAACTTTTGATTTCCAAACCTTTCCCTCAAAAAAATTTTTTAAAGATGGGAAGGAAGTTGTTGGGGAGAGAGTTGATTTATTGACTAGACTGGTGGGGGTCGGGCGTGCAGGTGGCTCGGGCTGGCTGGGCGGTCTGGCTGAAATTTGAAAATAGAAGATGTCTTAATAAAGACAATCAAAAGTTACGTCTTCGTACTTTATTTGTAAGAGTTGTTCATTTGTTAGGCTATTGGTTAAAGGTGCAACACAATATTGATTACTGAATTATCATTGATGTAGTTCAGTCTTATCAATCACTTAAACATATTTAATAATGTTCTCTTACCTACCTTGATGACTGTGGGCATTTTTGCTTACTTTTTGTTATTCTAAATAGAGATGGCTTGAAGGGCCATGGGTCACATTCAGTGCCAACCCGTCATTCCGGGCAGGTGGGGCATCAATACGTGTCACATATCAGTTTGCAAACAATGTAATTTTTTTAATAATATAGTAATTTAGTTAATAAAGCCGCTTTTCTGCTTTCTTGAGTAAGGCATCTCCAAAATGCAGGTGTTTCAGCCTAGCTCAGTGCTTTCTGTGGTGGTCAGCCAGCGGAAAATACGGAGTGTAGGTGTTGGTAATGTTCTCTAGTTGCGCCGTGATTGGCTCAGTGTTCTGTCACTCATGGGGACACTACGTCACCGCCAAGTCTAAGGGTAGAGGTCGAAAATTCAAGCCCCTTGGGTGCTGCCATAGAGTTACGTTAGAAGTGCCCATCCAAGAAGGCTCAAGCTCATTGGCCACAGATAGAATTACGTCAAATCATGTTAGATCTACAGTAGATTTAATTGGACTGATCATGTCAACATCATACTTTCAAAATCTTAGCTAGCAGTCATCATCATGAATCAAGTCGACAATCTACTGGCAAATCCTTTTTAATCCTTGTCATATGAAGAGAAATAATGAAGCGAAATTATAGATAAAACGTATTGGTGCTCATCGGCCATTGGACATAAACATTACACAACAAGTTGGAAATCGCAAATTCAACAATGAGTGGTTTGGAGGGAATCAGTGGCTAACTGCAAGCATTTCAAAGCAATCACTAGCCTGCTATTGGGTCTCTTTGACAGCATTGCCAATGTTAAAATGATAAACATTCAACATTGGCAATGCTGTCAATGAAGCATGATTTGTGCTGCGCTCAAAACAACTGTTAACTCGGAACTGTGAAATCTGACTTCAGTGAGTTCAAGACAACTGGGAACTAAGGAAGAATTAGCTCCGACTGGGAAAATACGTTTTGAACGGTCATCCAACTCGGAATTGTAAATCCGGAACTTGGGCCTCTTTCTAGAGCTATGACCTGAAGATCACTGATGTCATCATGATTCGACCTTGTTTTTTTCAGAGTTCCCAGTTGTCTTGAAAGCACCATAAATCCAGAGAATGCCAGACTTTGATGACAAAGTTTGATGACAAAAGGACCACGAAGGACCGCCGCGCCACCTTCCTGTTCAAGTGAACACAGCACAACAAGGTGAGTCCAAAAATGTATTGTATGCTGCTGCGTAAATTATGTAATATGCCAGGAAGATATGTATACTGTAGCTAAGAAAGTAATACTAAGTGTATGTTGTGTAGTAAACTGTTAGTAGACCATGTTCCTCACCCTAATAATTTGTTTTATTTTCCCCTCTTAATTTCACGTACTGTTCTGAGTTGGTGGTGCACATGTAGCCTATAACCTGTTTTAGAGAAATGTAATCATTTAATATTGTAAGAGCTTTCGTTGTCTGCTTAATGCCCCCTTTATTTATCCTACGGTTCTGACTTGGTGTACAGGGAGAAAACTGTAAGAACGGCCCATGTTCTGAATTCTGTTGCTGTACATTTCAAAAGTGCTGAACAAATAGTTAAATTGACTATGTCCGTCCTAGCTCACTCATGAATGTCTTACTCGAAATTACGGATTGCCTCTTATCTGCTTGTCGTCCCCTTATGCCATAGTTTGTACATCTCAATTGTCAGTAGAAACCCAATTTGTTTAAGCAAGTCAGCCATATCAGCTATGATTCTTTTAAAGGCAGTAAATGAGGCTGAATGAACTGTTTCGCTGCCAGACAAGGCTACGCTGATAGCCATGTGTAGTGGTGGTAAGGTGTTGGGACTGCTGTTGGGACTCTGCTGTTGGGACAGCTTTATGTAGGCCCTAACAGTTTGTGGGCACTGTTTGTCACCGTTATAGTGCAATTCATGAATTGTTTAGTGTTGTGTTGTGTTGTGTAGTGGTTTTGCTGGCATGCATCCCACATTATTTTGTTTTGTTTGCCCCATCAAGATTTACATGCTAAAATCGCCACTGGTCATATTAGGTTGTGTAGAAATTCATGAAATGAGCTTTTAGATGCCCCTAAAAATGGGAGGACCCTCAGACCCCCACAAAGTTATGTCCCCCCCACTTCTAAAACCAAAGTTGCGCCCATGTAGAAAAGTGTTCTCTCTACAGCCCAATGTTCTCAACATACCAGTGTCCAAATTGTATTTTTTCATTATTGGTCAAAAAAAGTATAATTTTAAACATATTTTGTATTTGTTTTCAAAAAGTACTTATTGGCGTTTCTTGTTGGCACAATACAAGTGGCCATTGCTTAAAATTCAATATATTTAGATTTAGGTTTTAATCCACATTGCCGTTTTCAAATGTGGCCTTTTATTTTGAAGGTTTTGTTATTAACATACGGACGTGACCTCATCATTTGTGCTTGTGGCAGAATACTGTGGTCAGAAATACCATTTACAAAGCGACCAACGTGTTTGGGGAGTCAACTGAGCACCATCCGTCGTCCATAAAACATATATATTTTTGAGGATTTTGACCAGAACATACTTATTATTAATCATATTTTGGTTGTCTCGTTAGAAATCATCACAAAAATGGCAGATCCGACTACACAGTCTGCCCAGATTTCGTCCTCGCTGAACGCTTCATCGACAAAAGAATCCTCATATTACGGTAGGAAATTAACATTTTTAAAGCGTTTTTGTGTTGAATGCGAATGCAAACATTTTGACTTAGTTCGAGCTCAGTACAACCACCCTAGTATACATCGATGCACGTTCGAACAATTGACGTGTGGGATGATTTACTTTGAGCAACGGCGCGTCTGACAGCTAGCTGGCTGACTTAGCTAGCTAACGTTAGTAATTTCACAACAGAATATAAATGTTGAAGACACTAATAACTAGCTAGTTATAGCTAACCCCCTCTCTCTTTTGGTTAGCAATGTTGCGAAATGCCCATACTATAAATTCTTGGACCGTTTAAGACCAGACAAAGCCTTTGGATATTCGAGTACCTAACGTTAGACAACAAAAGGTCGTTTGTTCACTCAGCTGATCTCTGACCAGTGTTATTAGCTATGTAAGGTAACTATTGTATTTCCAATGTGTTGCAAGCTAACTAATACACTAGCTACTTACTGAGGCTAAAGCTGCAAGCTTATGCAAATAAAATATTGCTGTAACGTTAGCTAATTAGCTAAAAGACTACTGACTAACGTTATACTGGCGCCTCATCCAGGAGTCATACTCCTATGGATACATGAGAGATGCTTAACTAGATTGGGGAGAGCACATGCCCCTATTCAAATGCTTCTAATAACCACCCTGCCGAAAGTTGGTTGAGCAAATGCATGGTTACCATCCTTTTGCTTTCATGAATTAAAACCAACCTTGTCAGGTCAGTGATTTCCTCTAGGAAATAAGGATGCATGCCCTGTTCTGGTTTTTATGCCACAGTTATGTTATACCAGCCACCTTTTAGTTGTGTACAAGATCACCACTTATTAAGTGTAGGTGAAATATGTAATTGATGTAGCCTAGTCCTTCCCGAACTGGCATCACATTCACAGGTGAGGGACTCCATATTTCACAGGTGAGGGACTCCATATTTAACAACTTGACACCAGACTACAAAAAGCCTGCAGGCTAGAGCCTACATCCCATTGGGAATGGATGAATGACTACTATGAAGGCTACTATGAATTAAATGAAAGTCCCACTGAATTTGAGTTGCTAGATATAAGACAATTGACTGGATGACGAATTTTTCAGGATAATGATAACCAGTTGCCACTAGAATTAGAAAACCTTTATTGTCCATGCAGTGCAGACATTTTTCTGGCTTCACCATATAAAAACAGACTTAAAACATCAGCTCAATAGGCCTAAGCAACTATTTTTCAGTGGTGATTGTGGACTGATGCCTTGGTGAAATAGTGAATAGCATGATATGACCAAATAATGGACCGCTGTCGATTGTCCCAGTTTCTCAAGCGTTTAAAGGTGTTGCATGTACCTTCCATTTCATGATTTGTAACCCTGAAAAATTGTATTTGATGTGATCTGAGACTAATACCTGTGTGTTGTAACATGAATAATCCTTACAGCCATGACTCATTCAGCTAGAATGAACTGGTGGTATTGCATTTTGCAAAGATTGCAGTCATGGGGTCAAACCTAAGGTCATATGGGACACATTTGTAACTTTGTGCTCACAGGTTTCTCTCATCAAAACTACCCTTCAGTATTAGGGTTTGGAAAATTCCATGGTAACGGAATTGGTCTGAGACTCAGATTTTTCACTTAAAATGTATGCCAAAAAAACAGATAATTAATTAAAATGTTTAACAAACCATACAACACTCTGCACAAGGAGTTTTTAAAAACAATTTACACTAACATTTTACAAAAATCTCCCTTAGTTTATGGCCACGTTTTCCCAAAACGGTTAAATGTCTACTCGGAATTAAGATTCTCATATTATTATTATTATTATTATTATTATTAAGATTCAACAATGTCTGGTAAAATAATGGGGTGTCAGCTATGACATGACACATTGACTTTGAAAACATCTATTTTGCTTATTGAGCTACAGTAAGTGAAGTGGATTTACACCCGGAAACGGAATTTCATCATGGGTCCCTGATCTGTACTACACAGAAATGCATAATTATGGATATGAATGTCGTTCTCTTCATGGTGACGTATCCTAAATAGGTACACAAAGGTATATGCAATATCCTCCTTTGCGTTTGGGTATTATTCTACACACTGGCTAGCTATTATTTTAAGGAGCTCTTCCCCCAAACAAGACCACATTTGGTTGGTCCGGACCAAATCTGAACCAATCATAGACGTCTATGTTTCACAAGTTTGGACATCAAAGTACAGCACAGTAGAGTACAGTAACTTATAGTGTGCTCTACTGTTTTAATGCACTGAACTATACTCTACTTTTCTTTACTGTACTTGAACGATATGCTACTTTTCTGTATTGTACTGTCCAAACTTGTCAACACAACTGTGCTTTGTGACTACTATGATTTCCCATTGTAACCAATGAAATTGCTGAAATTCCGTTATCAATCTTTCTGAAATTCCGTTACCGATTTGGTAACGGAATTCAGAGTTTTAATCACTGAATCATTCCTAAACAAAATTGATATCAGTAAAAACACCATTACTAATTGATAGGTCTACCTTCACTTGGTACTTCTATGAACTTTCATTATCCTCCCTCCTCATGAGGGAGAGAAATTAGAAAATATCTTGATGATATGTGGGTTTTTGGTAACGGAATTTCAAGGCACAAGGCAATGTTTCTTAAACTTACAGAAGGCATAACCATTTCTCAAACTAAATAGATGTTGATATTAGTTGGCAGGGGTGTTTACTTCAACATTGTGTTTTGATCTATTTCTAATACCTTTTTAAGACTTTTTCTGGTAGATGTTTTTTAAAGCTGGGTGGATACTACAAGACTTTCAAAATCCTAACATCGCTGAGCCTCTCACATTAAACAACCATCTTTCCTGTAGTTTTTATTTTCTCGCCAACGTAGTGGTGAGCACACTAAACGACGGGGCACAGACGGGGGTCACACATTACAAGATTCTTCACTTGGTCGTGATGATTGTCGATACCACGCTGACTCGCGGAAACTGTGATGTGATTAGATTTAACGTAGCTACAACGGGCTGTGGCATAAAGCAGGCTCATAAACGTTTTCAGTCAGACATTCACGCTTGCCATACAGAGTTGAAATATCTAGCCAACATTTTCAATTGAATTAAATTGCTTGTGAACTTCAGAGCTGTAACGATTTAACACTGGCTTTTGGTTAAAGGCAAGTACAAACGTAAACTAGTAGTAGTCAACGCTCCTGCTCGAGGTTCTACACATCCTGGGTGATGCGAAACAACGTTATCATCTCATTGGCTTCTTCTCTGGCGAGCTCTCATTGGCTATTGCTAATCACCGTTCTCAAAACTTGCCGTTGCACATCTCACACTACAAGAGCATTGCAGATTTTGTGCCGATAAAATCAAACATGTTTGAAAATATCGGGACTGCTGAAAGACGAGATCGGTAGCCCTCAGATTGCGTCTCTGACCCGCTCACATAAAAAATGCGTCTGTGACGGCCGCATGCCCCAAGTAGGTAACGACATGGGGATTTTGTTTCCGATCTCAAACTTGGGACAGCTAAATCGGGGCCAAATTGTTGTAGTGTACACCCGTCTTAAGACCCCTGTTCGGTTTGTTTGACCAGAAATCAAAACCTTATTCCTAATTTTTAGGATGGAAAATGGTTGAAATGTATTTAATAAAAAATAAAAAAATTGACTCTTAGCTTTCAATTTAACATTCTCCTATGAACTTCACATGTTGGTGCTCAGGGTCCTTTTTAGATGGAAATGACCATTTTATAAATGAGATCTGTGATCGTCTGACAGTCAGGTTTGGCTTGATAATTAATCCTGCTCGATCCTGTTTGTCCCTCGTCCTTCCTCCAGTGATGAAGATGGTGTACTGGCGGGACCCAAAGAAGTCTGCGGTGGCCTTTGGCATGTCCCTGCTGGTCCTTGTGTCCCTGGCTACCTTCAGCGTCATCAGTGTGGTCTCCTACCTGCTGCTGGCACTGCTCTGTGTCACAATCACCTTCCGCGTCTACAAGTCTGTCATTCAGGCAGTGCAGAAGTCTGACGAGGGCCACCCCTTCAAGTATGACAGCTCAGGATATATACGTAGTAATACACAAGGCACATTGAACTTTACCCCTTGGAGTCATTGTCTGATTTGAGTCGTTGTAGTTTAAGCTTAGTTTTGTTTGTTAGGTGATGATGGTAAATCTTTGTCTCCCTCAGGGTTCTGATGGAGAAGGACCTGACTGTTCAGCCTGAGACTTTCCGTAAATATGTGGATGTGTGTCTGACCTATGTGAATCATGCCGTCAAACAGGCCAGACACCTGCTGCTGGTGGAGGACCTGGTGGACTCACTTAAGGTACTCACTTAAGAACTCTCTTGAAAAAAACGATCTGGCCTTAATGGCCAAATGTACTCTTAAATCTCTACCCGGTACAGCCAGAAGAGGACTGGGCACCCCTTGGAGTCTGGTTCCTCTCTAGGTTTGTGCCTTTTCCTAGCCATGCTTCTGCATTGCTTGCTCTTTGGGGTTTTAGGCTGGGTGTCTGTAAACCAGTTTGACAACTGCTTTTTACAATTCTTAAAGTGGGGGGTTCTAAGCTGACATATGGAATTTGGTCAGGTTGCCTAAAAGTTACATATTGTAGCTTCAATTGGATCTAACCGATTAATTCTAGCAGGGCTTGATATAGACTTCTGTCTGTATAGCGAGGAGAGTAGTTTTGTGACTTGTGAGTCTGTCAGTCTAGTTCCATCTACTGGACTGAATGGGAATACTCTCTTTCTTAGCATTTATTTTGACTGTAGAAAAACTCTGCTGAAAGTAGTGCTTAGAATTGTTTTCAATTTGTAAAAAAATATTTTGCATGCCTTAAGAGTTGTCTTAAGTCTTGGTCCATATACACTGTGGCCACCTTCTGTGCCTTTGGAGATATGTTTTCACAACTCTGAAGTCTACTCTATCATGCATTGAAACGGCTGGCTAAGAAAGCCTGAAAAGCTGTCATGTGATGAGGACTGGCAGAGCGAGAAATACCAGGCCGATGTTCAAATTAGGGATTAAGGGTTTATCAGATGAAGAAAGGATTGGATTACACAGCTGAAGGCGGCCAGTGTATGTGGTATCTTAACAATATGTTCTTATATAGGCTACATATTATGGGATGCTCATTATATTTTCATTTTCTTCAGACACACAAAATGTTAGAATGAGTTGGTAACAATTTCGATGATAATACAATGAATCTATAGTGGCCAAGGAAATTGCAGTCCTTATGCTTGTCATGCCATTTAGCCATATAGTGTGGTGGTGGTCTGAAATGTGCTGGTCCATCTCTGTTGCAGCTGGCTGGTTTCATGTGGCTGATGACCTATGTGGGAGCTGTCTTTAATGGCATCACCATCCTGATACTGGGTAAGACACTGTCCAGTCATTGATTTTTGCCTAATGTCACAAAACATTCACTTAGACACTTTATATTCATATTAATGATAATTTGTTTTTAGTATTCTCTAGGAACCTAGACTTTTATCGTCATGCTTTTTAATTCAACTACAGGTGTTGTTGTTTTTACATATCTGCCTAAATAATTGAGCCTTATGGGATAGATAAAGTATTATGAATTGAAACAATCAGACTTACGTTTACACTAAAGAGTGGTGGAGGGGGGAATGGTCTGAATGATCCATAGTAGACATGGTTTAAGTTGCCTTGAGAGATCCTGTGCAATACTGCTGTAATAAATAGCTCTTTAAACGGGTCGATAGTATTCAATGAATAGCTTTGTGTTAAACTAGCATGTTAGAGGTGTGTCCGATGCTACACTACATTTATACACTACATACAGTATGTGGACACCCCTTCAAATGAGTGGATTTGGCTATTTCAGCCACACCCGTTGCTGACAAGTGTATAAAATCGAGCACACAGCCATGCGATCTCCATAGACAAACATTGGCAGTAGAATGGCCTGTTCTGAAGAGCTCAGTGACTTTCAAGGTGGCACCGTCATAGGATGCCACCTTTCCAACAAGTCAGTTCCTCAAATTTCTGCCCTGCTAGAGCTGCCCCGGTCAACTGTAAGTGCTGTTATTGTGAAGTGGAAACATCTAGTGGAAAGCCTTCCCAGAAGTGTGGAGGCTGTTATAGCAGCAAAGGGGGGACCAACTCCATATTAATGGCCATGATTTTGGAATGAGATGTTTGACGAGCAGGTGTCCACATACCTTTGGCCATGTCCTCTGTAGGTCAGTTGGTAGAGCATGGCGCTTGCAACGCCAGGGTTGTGGGTTCGTTTCCCACGGGGGGCCAGTATGAAAATGTATGCACTCACTAACTGTAAGTCGCTCTGGATAAGAGCGTCTGCTAAATGACTAAAATGTAAAATGTAGTGTATCTGGAAACCTCCTTAGAAACGACATACTTGACCGGCGTCCACTCTGTTTCTCATTGACAGCTGATATCATCTTCTTCAGCACGCCTCTGGTTTATGAGAAAAATAAAGTAAGTGTGAATGGAAGCATTTGTTTTTATTTGGCATACAATTACTAGTGTTTGTTATAAATCTGTGTGCTTGTTGGTTAACAATTGTTCTCTTTTAGACTCAGATCGATAAATACATTGAACTGATTCGCACCAGAGTTGAAGTCACACTTGCAAAGTAAGGGCATTCTTTTTCTAATCATCAATGTGTAGATGAGGTGAAATCATAGATCACACAATTTTCTGTTTTTCGGCAATAGAAGTGGACATTTACCTTTGGTGTCATGGCATGAAGGAACACGACATCAGTACCTTCATGATCAACTGTCTTGGTGGAACCACTAAAAGGATTTGTCTTTCCAGATACAATATGACATCTAATGTATCAGTATATAAAGGTGTAAGGCCAGCCACACCAACCTAGTTCTAGTGCAGTATTATTAATTTTTTTCCCATTTCCTTTTCAGGCTTCAAGATAAACTCCCTGGGGCAGTAAAGCGCACCAAAGCAGAGTGATTGTCCATGAACCCTATTCAACAATGAATCTCTCTCCCTTATACTTCCCTTATACTGCAACCCCAGTCCTACACTTTCAAATGCATTCCCAGCGTCAAACTAGTGGCAAAGTCATCGCTCGATATTCTATGTACCGTAACTAACTTGCATAGGGTGCAATGCTCGTATTTTGTTGTTGGAGCCATCCACATTCTGTACATTGTCTTTGAGGATCAAGAGACAATGTACTCGTTAACAGATGATTCCTGTTTGAACCGGGGCGGCAGGTAGCTTAGTGGGTAAGAGCGTTGTGCCAGTAACCGAAAGGTCGCTGGTTCTAATCCCCGAGCCGACTAGGTGAAAAATCTGTCGATGTGCCCTTGAGCAAGGCACTTAACCCTAATTGCTCCTGTAAATCGCTCTGGATAAGAGCGTCTGCTAAATGAGAAAAAAAAAAAAAAAGTCAGTCCGTGATTCACTTTGAATGATTTCAAGGGTACAGAATGGTGTGTAGCATCTCTAAAAAGCAAATGTTTGTACTGTAATCTGTTTTGAGGAGAAAATCCTTTGTTGTAGATGAAGTTTGTAAATTGTCACAAAATAAATATCATTTTTAATTTATGAAAGAAAATAACTTAAGCACTTGGTGTGTTTTTCTGTTTCTGAATTGTTGAAGTTGCTGGGGCATTCAACCTTTTTCAGCGTCATCTCAGTTCATCCTAAAGACACTTGGTTTCTGCACTGCACTGAGTATTTTGTAAGTAATTCATCAAATTTGAAATAAAAATGAAGGAAACCCTCTGAAAAAGCTCTCACGAGTCATGATTTATCCTGTTTTGTGTGTATGAGCTGGGGAAACAAACTGAGTTAGTGTATCAAAGCAAAGGCATTCGTCATAAGCCAAGTCTATTTGTTTATTTGTATGAATGAGATCTACTTTCGTCCCTGACAATTCGTGAATTTTGGGGGGAAGGGGGAAAAGATGACAAATATGAAAGGTTTGAGTGATTTAGGTAGGCAACAGTTCTTTATTCTGAACAGTAGATGGAAGCAATAAGGTGAAATAAGCAACAATTGGGTTTAAACATTGAGTGAATGACTGAAATTGCTAGAGCAAGATCACATCAGATGTGGTTGATACTTCAAATGTAGAAATAATCCCATAAGAGTCATTAGTTTGATGATGGTGGTGATGATTGTGATGACCGTGCCGGACTAACCAAATCTGGGGCCCTGGGCAAAACGTTTTTAGAGGCCCACATCTTGATGGCGGAGAGAAGATTTTGATGATTTAATTTACAGCAATTGTACTCGTTTTGCCTTGGGACTGAGGGAAAATGTTTGTTTCAAAGCAAATTCCCTGCAATTCTACACATTTTGCCATGGCTTATGCTGTATTCTTATGCTATCAGGGTGACTCAAACAGAACAATATCAATGGGGACCTCCTGGAGGTCGGGCCTCTGGGCATGTGCCCTAGATGATGAGGGGATCAATCGGTGATGAAGAGGACAAGGTGGATAAGATATAACTGTCATTATACTGGCCAATAGACGTTATAAGAGAAGGATCCAGACATACAGGCCACAGAGCAAAGAGTCTGCTGCTGTTATCAATGATTCCTCAGCCCAGTTAGCTTTAAACAGTCACAGGACCCCTGTTGTCAATCTTTGATTGGCCAGGTAATGCAAAGAATGGCTTTATTGTCCCTGTTTACACACTGGGGCCCCTTTTATGGCCATCTATGTACACAAGCAGTAGGTCTATACAATGGGTCGGACCCTTTGGATATCTCAAGGAATGTAAGATGCAGTCAGGTCCAGAATTATTGGCACCCTTGATACAAGTGAGCAAAAAATACTGTATAAAATGAATAATACAAATACTGAGCTATATTGTATGCAAAGCAAATTTGGAAAATGATATTATTTTATACTAATGCAATTTCTCAGATGGAGATTTTATAACAAGTATTAAAAACAATTCTCAAAGATAGGGGCCAAAATTATAGGCACCCCTGTTTTCAATACCTTCCAATACCTCACATTGCGAGGATAACGGCACTTTTTCTAAAACGTTTTATGAGAATGTTTTATTTTCATGTCATCTGACCATAGCATCGATAGTTCCAATCCAAGTGCCATTGTCATTTAGCAAACTTCAGGCGTTTACATTTGTTGGATGACATGAAAATAGAGCTCTTTGGCCATGCACACCAGTGGTGGGTTAGGCGTCAAAATAAGGGTGCATATGCAGAAAAGAACCCCATACCTACTGTAAAATATGGTTGTGGATCTTTGATGTTATGGGGCTATTTTGTTCCACTGGCCCTGGGGCCCTTGTTAAGATCAACGACATCATGAACTTTACCCAGCGCCAGGACATTATAGCCAAAAACCTGGTAGCCTTTGCCAGGAGGCTGAAACTTGGCCACAAGTGGATCTTCCAGCAAGACAATAACCCCAAACACACACCAAAATCCACAAATAAATTGTTAATTGACCACGAAATCAACATTTTGCAATTGCCATCTCAGTCTCCGGACTTGAACCCGATTAAAACATCTCTGGTTTGAATTGAAGAGGGCAGTCCATAAGCGCAGACTAAGAATTTTCATGAATTTTTACAAAATAGCCAATTTTGACTTCACAGCTAGTGGAAATAGCTCAGTTCTGCCTCAAGGATAAGACTAAGAATTTTGACCACTATCTTTTTGAGATAAAAAATATGTAAACGAAATCTCTTTCTCTGAGCAATTCTATTAGTATAAAATAATATAATTTCACATTTTTGGGGGGCACAAAATATACAGTGGGGATAACAAGTATTTGATACACTGCCGATTTTGCAGGTTTTCCTACTTACAAAGCATGTAGAGGTCTGTAATTTTTATCATAGGTACACTTCAACTGTGAGTGACGGAATCTAAAACAAAAATCCAGAAAATCACATTGTATGATTTTTAAGTAATTAATTTGCATTTTATTGCATGACATAAATATTTGATCACCTACCAACCAGTAAGAATTCCGGCTCTCACAGACCTGTTAGTTTTTCTTTAAGAAGCCCTCCTGTTCTCCACTCGTTACCTGTATAAAAGACACCTGTCCACACACTCAATCAAACAGACTCTAACCTCAATGGCCAAGACCAGAGAGCTGTGTAAGGACATCAGGGATAGAATTGTAGACCTGCACAAGGCTGGGATGGGCTATAGGACAATAGGCAAGCAGCTTGGTGAGAAGGCAACAACTGTTGGCGCAATTATTAGAAAATGGAAGAAGTTCAAGATGACGGTCAATCACCCTCGGTCTGGGGCTCCATGCAAGATCTCACCTCGTGGGGCATCAATTAGCTTTTTTGCAAAGAGGACAGGACGACTGCACCGTATTGAGGGGAGGATGGATGGGGCCATGTATTGCGAGATCTTGGCCAACAACCTCCTTCCCTCAGTAAGAGCATTGAAGATGGGTCGTGGCTGGGTCTTCCAGCATGACAACGACCCGAAACACACAGCCAGGGCAACTAAGGAGTGGCTCCGTAAGAAGCATCTCAAGGTCCTGGAGTGGCCTAGCCAGTCTCCAGACCTGAACCCAATAGAAAATCTTTGGAGGGAGCTGAAAGTCCGTATTGCCCAGCGACAGCCCCGAAACCTGAAGGATCTGGAGAAGGTCTGTATGGAGGAGTGGGCCAAAATCCCTGCTGCAGTGTGTGCAAACCTGGTCAAGACCTACAGGAAACGTATGATCTCTGTAATTGCAAACAAAGGTTTCTGTACCAAATATTAAGTTCTGCTTTTCTGATGTATCAAATACTTATGTCATGCAATAAAATGCAAATGAATTACTTAAAAATCATACAATGTGATTTTCTGGATTTTTACAGAAATTACAGACCTCTACATGCTTTGTAAGTAGGAAAACCTGCAAAATCGGCAGTGTATCAAATACTTGTTCCCCCCACTGTAGCTCCGTATTTGTAATATTTATTTTTTGCTCATCTTTATCAAGGGTGCCAGTAATTTTGGACCTGACTGTATATCTGTATTATTGGCGAACGTGCAATCACTGGAGAACAAACTGGATGAGCTATCCTATCAACGGGACCTGAAAACTGTAATGTCCTATGTTTCTCAGAGTCGTGAAACAACCATCAAGACCGGTCGGCAGACCGGTCGGCAGTCTCGGGGTTAGCTTGCCTTTGTTAGAATACCTCATGATAAGCTGCAGACCATGCTATTTACAGAGAGGGTTTTCATCAAACATTTTCGTAGCTGTCTATTTACCACCACAAACTGATGCTGGCACTAAGACCACACTCAATGAGCTGTATAGGGCCATAAGCAAACAAGACAAGGCACATTCAGAGGCAGCATTTTTCTTGACTAAGATCAAATCCTACTATGCCGGTTCTGATAGTCGATGGATGTGGCAGAACTTGCAAACTATCTCTGATTACAAAAGGGAAAACCAGCCGATACGTGCCGAGCGACGCAAGCCTACCAGACGAGCTAAATTTATTCTATGCTTGCTTCGAGGCAAGCAACAATGAGCCATGCATGAGAGCACCAGCTGTTCCGGATGGCTGTGTGATTTCGCTCTCCGTAGCCGATGTGAGTAAGACCTTTAAACAGGTTAACATTCACAAGGCCACAGGGTCAAACGGAATATCAGGACGAGTACTCAGAGCAGGCGCTGACCAGCTGGAAAGTGTCTTTACTGACATTTTCAACGTATCACTGACCCGGTCTATAATACCAAATTGTTTCAAGCAGACCACCACAGTCCCCTACCTAAGAACGCCAAGGTTAAAATGCAAATCAATTTATCACATTTTTGACATGCGTTTTTCTGGATATTTTTTGTTGTTATTCTGTCTCTCACTGTTCAAATAAACCTACCATTAAAATTATAGACTGATCATTTCTTTGTCAGTGGGCAAACATACAAAATCAGCAGGGGATCAAATACTTTGTAAGAATGCTGTTCATTGACTACAGCTCAGCATTCAACACCATATTCCCCTCCAAGGTGGTGAGGGTAGGCAACAACAGATCTGCCACACTGAGCATCAACACAGGGCACCTCATGGATGTGTGCTTAGTCCCCTCCTGTACTTCCTGTTCACCCACAACTGCGTGGCCGCGCATGACTCCAACACTATCATCAAGTTTGCTGACGAGTGTACAAAACATGCTCTTTCCATGACAAAGACTGACCAGGTGAAAGCTATGATCCCTTATTGATGTCACTTGTTAAATCCACATCAAATCAGTGTAGATGAAGGGGAGAAGACAGGTTCA